TACTCTGCGCGACCGCGCCGTTAACTAAGTCCCGCGACACGCGACGCGTCTTGGGTACCGAGTCGCCTCGCACGCAGGGCACCTCCGCGACGCGTTTGGGTGCGTGCGCGCGTATATGTACGCGCGTCGTGCTTCCACCCCGGTGGGTCGTGGTACACTCGAGCTACTATCTTTCGATGTATCCAAGTGATAACAGGCTCCCCGCGAGAGCAGTTGGAAGGCGGCTACACTGGCCATGGCGGTCCTGGCCAGGATTCACGCGCTTGGGCCATCGCGTCCGCCTGGCCCGCCAGCGCGACCAGCGAAGTCGCGCCGGACCAAAACCTAAACGGTTTGCACCATGCGCTGCATGAGTCCCAAGCACGACGCCGATGGTCACAGTCATGCCGAACTTGTTCGGTGACCGGGGATACCAGGGGATAAATAGTCCTCTATCGCCTCCTTGACGGTAAAATCTACGGAAATTACCATGGCATCCCATGCGTCCAAGACGTCGGGGCGGAAGAGGAGGGAGGAGCAAGCGACAATCGCCAGTCTCGAGAGCACGAACACACGATCACATGAGTTAAAACGAGCCATATAATTGTGGTCATGGGGTGTGTAAGGAAGTTTTACAACAGTAGAAGACATGACAGCCAAATGTGACATGCAATAGAGGTACACTCAGAAGGCGAATCGCGACAAAATCCGACAGTCACGACAGTCATTGGTGGGTCAAAATATTAGTGTGACCGAGCCTGAAAACAATTAAGCGTCAGCAAACATTCGTGAACTGCTCCAGGTATGGGTACCCACTGCTTATACGGTATGGGTTTCCCAGCCCAGCCCAGTAGATCAAACTCCTGCTGCATGCGTTCTGTGGGTTTCCAAGGCTTGTACGTGCGCTTGGGCTTATACTTATAAGTCGGATAAAGAGCACCATGACGTTCCTTCACGAGCTCAGCCGCAGATTCGAAGGGCTTCCGCGTCTCCTCTGGTAAATTGTTCCATCGGTCGCCAATCATGCGGCTAAGCTCATATTGCTGCCAGCGGGACTGACGAAGGGCTGCTGCAATCCACGACCGGTAAATGATAAAGGCATTCGGTGCGCGTGGGATTTTGGTCGACTGAAGATCGACGAATCGAATGTAGTTCGCGGCAGGGTTGAGGTAGGCCGGGTCGACGGGGTAGTACCTCGCGGTCGCGGGGCAGTGGGAAAGGATATCCTCAACCTTCAAAGGCTCGACATTGCGCTGCTCAATGGAAGAGGTGTTCTGGACACTGCAAGACGGTCCGTGCGAATCGACATGCGTGGCGCTCCCCTCGACGTGTGAAGAGACCTCCTCGACGTGTGAAGAGACCTCCTCGACGTGTGTGTGGTTGAGCTGGACGTCTGCAGGCACCTCCCCGGCACGGGCAGAGGCCCGCCCGGCGCGCACGAGAGAGGGAGAAACGGGCGATAGTGCGGCAAAGGACGCCGAAGGTAGTGTCGATGGCAAAACGATTTGGGCTCGTTTCTGCCGGGCAAAACGGCAAACGGCATGATGGCAATTCGGCACTACGTGGCAGACAAAATGGCAGATAAAATTAATATAAATAATATTTATGGTATCATTTATTGAGAATGTCGCGAACAGACCACGTCTTGGGTGCCGTACCATCCTGGCTCCCCAGAACTGTTGTCGCCGAGGCTAGGGCAGTACCAGAAAGCCCCTTCTCAACTTTCTCCAGCTCGTCAAACTTGTACTGCCGGCCCTTCGTCACTTCGCTGCCCTCCACAACTTCTACATCTTTCAGCTCCTCCTCGGAACGCAAGCGATGCTTCTCGAATGAAGCCGACAACTTTGACATTGTCGACTCCTCTGAGCCTGCATCTCCCTCGGCTGCAGGGTCGAGAGGGGGAACGACAGTGAGACTGTCGACAGTGGCCGTGTTGATGCCAGGCTGAGTCTTAGTGTGCATGTGGGCGTGTTTACGGTGCGTACTCTTCCCAGCTTTCCGATCGCGAAGCCAAAGCTCGCGCGCATAGTGATTGCGGCACTTGCCGAGTGCCTCGAAGTTGTCCACTGTAAGATTGCAGCGCTTGGGTGTCATGACACCTCCGAGCTGTGAGAAAAGTCGCTCGACCTCGGCCGAATGAGGGGCGATAGAGAAGATAGAGATCGCCATCGCCTTGAGAGTGCACTCGCCGGAAGCGGGACGGTCTTGCCACCACGTGTAGCCATCCGCCCGACTACCAGAGTAGATCCCGACCCCAGCAAAATATGTTCGCATGTCGTCGACAAGAGTGCGAGCCTCTTCCATTGTCCAGTCCCACTTGAGTGCGATCTCGACAGCAGTCTGAAGAAGATCATCAAATGATGTTCCATAGCCCCCAACAGCACCGCTGACAGCCAGCTGGCGACAGTGTGGGTGGAGGAAGAGAGCGAGGCGATGGAGTGGTGTGGCAATCTTCTGAAAGCGACGGTCAAAACACCGGCGAACGTGTTCCAAGAATGCGGGATCATCGCCAGGTTGCAGTTCGAGCTTTGAGATGTTGCGAGCACACTTGATGAGATCAAGCATACAGTCTGCGAGGTTGACGTCGCGGGCCTCTGTATTGCCAATGACATCAACGATTGGTTTCGTCATGCGCGCGATCTGCGACAGCATCGGGAAGAACGACGCGTCGCCGACAACGGACTTGCGCACGTCCAACTTGACCGGTGTAAGCCCGCCGATCGGAGTCACTGCATCCTGACGTAGACAGAGTCGCTGTAGAGCCTCGCTGTGAAGCATGTGAATAAAGAACCGATGAAATAGAACTTGTCCCACTTACCGATGGTCTAAAACACTGACAGCCTGCAGGATCAGAGCATACCACCGCGATTCGCAGTTCTGCGACATCCCACGTGTAATCTTGAGCTCCTTGGCAATATCCGCAAGCTGGCCACCCCAGTAGTGTGAGCTATTGAAGTATGAGACGATGGCAGTTGCCTGAGAGGTGTTCCGCTTCGCCGCAGGATAACTCGCAATGTCGCCGAGGATGCTATTAACACTATGAAGGAAGCAGGCGAGAGTCTTGGTGTGTCGTTAGCCCATGAATACGATATGAGGTCAAATCTACTCACAAGGAGCCACTTGAACTCTCCACTAGACGAAGCTAGACGCCGAAAGGCCTGCATTGTCGTGGGATTATCTGTGACCAACGCGATGAACGCGCGCCCATCGTCCAGTCCCATCTTCCTCAGCGCGTTCTTCATGACCACCAACACGTTCTCGGCAGTCGCTCGTTTACCCGTCATGTCTTCGAGTGCGAGCATGCTCGGGTACTCATTGACCTGTGCCGCGACCGAGCCATACAGGCTACGCCTCAACTCGTCCTCCCAACCATCGATCAAGAAAGTCAAGTTTCGGCGAGTCGCGAGCAAGTCCATCTCGTGGAGCTGGACTCGAGCTGCCTCACTGTCGAGGATGGAGTGCGAGATGACATAGCGAGTTGCTGGGTCGCATGAGGGGCGGATATGGTGTATGTAGTCGAGGAAGAAAGCATCTTCGGAAATACGGAAGGCCAGATTTGCATGCACGATGAAGCTATGGGTCGTCTTAGATACGTCGAACGAATTGAAGTTGTTTTGATAGCTCACCGAAAGAGAAGAATGTTGCCAATCCTCTGTTCCTCTTCTGTCATCGCTACATCGATATACCCGTCAAGCTCGTCTATCCTTCGATCCCTCACTTCAAATCGCCGACGCTTTTGCCCGACCTCTTCGCCGCCATCTACTCCATGACCATCCTCGTTGTCTCCCTCGGCTAGTGCAACTTGGCGAGAGCCAGAAGATTTTGCTTTTGCTGGCGCCTTGACCTTCGTATGCTTCCCCTGTTGCTCCAGAGCTAAGAGTGCAGCACGACGACGGGACGAGTCTGCTTTCGAGCACTTGTTGGCTAGGTGCTCAAGAAGGGCATTGTCCCTGTGCTCGATACGACGACCTGGTGAGTCATCCTCCTGCGAGCAGGCATTGCAGCTAAAGTAATAGTGGTTCGAGCTATTGTCGAGCTTTTCGCCGCGCGTGAAGTTCGCAAGGACGACGGGTGGTGGTTGCCGGGGCATTGTTCGTGAACTCGAGGGGAATATTGACACCCGCTGACTTTCAACTTGCATTTATAGCTTTCGCCTACGATATGGGGTGCTCGGCAACACCGCAGCTGGTGGTTGAGCCACACACCAACCACCTATGAGCAACGAGGGGGGCAACGAGGCTCCCAACCACGCCCGGACGTCCGATTCGGGGTATATACATTATTTAAATGATTTATAAATGAATAAATTTATTATTTCAATTGCCGTCGTCTGCCAAAGGTCGTCGCGTACTGCCATACTGCCAGGGCCGGCAGGCAGATCCCGGCAAATGGCTGCCGTTTTGCCAACAACACTAGCCGAAGGCATCGAAGATGGGGAGGACAGGGGAGATAGAGGTGAGGGCGGAGTATTGTTGGCCGTAGTCGGTGGTATGAGCGGTATGCCGACCATTGCGGGAGCAGACACCGCGATAGACTGGTTAGAGTCGACCAGAGGTTGCGGCCGGGTTGGCTTGTGAACCTCACGTCGAGAATGCAGTACCGGAGCATAAGCTGAGAAAGGTCAGTTAAGGACGTCAAGAGACTGGTGAATCCAGCTGACCCGGGGGGACCGAAGCGCCGTAGGGGGCGGAGCGTTTGAAGCGAGCAGGTGCTGTGTGGGTCACGCCCATGTTGAAGCAGAACACCAAAGTAAACGAGGCAAAAACCAATTGCGATTGGAAGCGAGAAAGCGGGTTTTGGTTTAGTGGACATAGTCGAGGGTGTTTTATGATCCTCTATCCATGGGCCGATACGAACGCTCGTCAAACGGCAGATTCCGTGCGGAGCAGCATACCGTTGCCATTTTAAAAACCTTGCCAGATTCGGTTGCGCTGCTCGCTTCCACGGAAGGGCGCAGCGCTAAGTGAAGATCACGCAGATACGGCGTCAGCCATGAGTCGTATGTGGCGTACACGCGGGAGGGCACGAGTTGGAAAGCAAAACAAAGCAAGACCTGCCCGCTGTGTTTCATCAGGTTCGCCAGTGATGCGCCGTGTCCGGCGTCTGCCTCGTGTTGCCACTCGACTCCGAACTGGCCCGTGCATCGCGCGAGACTCGGAATCTAAGGCAGCAGCACAAAGAGCGCGATCGCCAATGTCGTTGCGGAGGCGATTTGTTTCGGATGTCGATGCTCTTGCTCTCTTTCCCGTATGAGGGCTGAGTGGGCCCGGAAGGGTCGAGTGCAAGTGCACGCTCCATGTTTGCGGAGGGTGTAGTGACAGAATCCGATCGCGTTTCCCATCAGGTATTGACGAGATTGATCCGGAGCAGATGGTGTGTGCGGGCCGATCTTCCTTACCTGCTGGCAGTTGCGTGAGCCATATCGTAGCCTTGAAAGCAGCACCATCCCGTAAGTAAATTCTGCACGGTTGCGACACAGCTTACGAACTCGCCGCAATCCTGGCGGTCTTCAAGTTCGTCCGACAGGTCGGACTTGTGGAAAGATTTACGGCCCTTTTCATAGTTTGTGTGGAGTACTATGTTACAGACTGTTACAAGGTATCATCAGAAATGTACCCAGAACGAGCGAAGACGAGAAAACATTAGAAAATGGGCATTCGGCAGGGATATGCAGGACGTTGCGACGAGAAGTTCTTTCATCAATGTATACAAGAGCGCAAACCATCCGCATATGACAATGCCGCCTGCCGCCGTCTACGTATCGCGGTGGGCGTCTGCAAGAGCATGGCCGGAGCCATAATGTGATTCCAAGACATGTCCTCCCTCTCATTACTCACTGTCTCGACTATGAGCTATACGACGTAGGGGACGAATTGGTTCTCAGACATCAGGTCCTCAAGGGAACCGCACCATCTAGCGCAGTATCGGTATAATGCACGCGTCGACGCCTGCAGATGAGGCACACCTCAGCAAGCCCTCAATACCATCCCCGTGTGTGAGCCTCGTAGTCGGGCGAGTAGGAGAATCCTGCGCTGCGATTGAAAACGTTTTAGCGACATGTTCCTCAAGCTGGAGACGATCACTCACTGGACGCATTGCTGCTTGCATGGTGAGAGGCGTTCGAGGTGGCCTGGCAATAACGACTAGAGCCTCTTGGTTTCCGCCACGTCTCGCCCGGCGCTGGTGTGCACCGGAACGCGCACGTTGCCTGAGCAGTATCATTGAGATTTGAATTTGTCCTCTATCTGGTATGGCGATGACGGATGACCAGCTGAGGCAGAAGAGCAAGACTATATGCTTACGTGGAGGTTTTTGAGAGAAAGCAGACCACCTGGTGGTGGACAGTAAGTGAAGAGACCTGTCCTTATGAGGGCGCATTGGGGTCGACGATGAGAGGTGCTGGTCCGGCTATTTGCGTGTAGACCATCGCAATGAGCGCGGAAGGAGGATGATGTAGGCGAATATTCGAAGGGATTGCTAGTGTGCACAGATAAGCAAGCAAGTGCGACTCCGAAACGCCAGCAACCGACATCTCAAAGGTGAGCAGAGTGGGAGCGAGTACGCGGGCCGACTCTAGGAACGGTGGCGGCAGAAGGTAACCCGTGTGACTGCACACGCGTGCGGCGATGGCACTCCGGTACTCGGACTTGGCCGACACCCTCATGCACCCGAACCAGATGTGGTGATAGCTGACGCTATCGTCAAAGTTCGGTGACGGCCGCCTTGTCACGACGCGACGAGGGCATAATCGCCCTACTTCTACGGTACACGGCATTATCCGGGTAGATGGGCTACCAGTAGCGCTCTCGCCTGCTGAAGTTACTCCTAGCTCCGCATCTAGCGGCAATTGCCTAGGTTGGGCGACAACGAAGACCCGAGTTCACGATTGTGACTCAAAAGGTGGGGAGGATATGCGTCTCACACCATCTCCCAGCGGAAATCCACGCACACTCGATGGCGCTTCCCTCTCTACGACTCCATTACGAGCCAAATCTGCATCGAGCGCTCTTCCAGGACGCCGGAGACTTATCCGTTTCTCACCTCAATCCAGAGCTACTAGCGTCTTTTATTGCGGATCCTGTTGGGTCGACTGTCTCCCTGCGCGACTTGTACCGGCGCCGATCACGAGGCGAGGCGAACGAGGAACTCCAAAGTCACATACGTGTCCTGTTGCATCTGCTCAAGTTCCGCCTGGACAATGTCCCGTTCGAAGAGGATTGCGCACGCGTGCTACGCGTGATCGAAGATTATCAGGTTTTCCCCTTGCTTACGGAAGTCCTATTGAACGACGACTTCTTTCGCGAGGATGTGGTGAGCTTGGCTCGCATGAGTGATGACTTGCTTCTAATGCCTTTTTCTATCCAGGACTTTGTTGTTCACATTCTTGAGGTGGTATACAGAGCCTTGTCTCTTGGCCATCATCTAGACGCTCCTCTGAATGGACACTGTATGGTGCTATCTTCCGTTTTTTGTGAGAGCGTGCTTCGTGGGCACTCGTGGTTCAAGGACGGCTTGCACGTAGCCAGTGGGACGTCACGTTATGACGCCAGTGTTCTCATCCACAGGGCCCTCATTCCAAACATACTTCTATTATTATCCGAGTGAGTCGCTTATTCTGGTTGACCAAGACCGGGCGTAGTCTCATGTATTTCAGGGAGCTTTTCAGTGAGACCCAGGGTCTACGGCAGGCATGCCTCCTCGGCTGGATTACGAACCCTGTTCTCGACGATCCCAAGTATAATACCCCTATCCTGTCTATTGCTATGCTGCAGCATGTGCTCGCGGGGGTCGATGTTTACCCCTCCCAAGTCGAGCAACAAGAGGCTTTTTGCGCCTCAATCAGCCAGTATATCATCCCTACGTTTGGGGGGGATCTCTATCTACGGCAGGTGGCGAAGATGTTGCGCAACGAGGCTATCTTACAGGACGACATTCTCGAATTGATGTTACCAGTCACAAGTCTATCGATCATCAGTCACCCTATGCTGCTTACGAACTCCACCCTGTCGGATGTGCTTATCGCTATGCTCGATATATATGGCCAGCAGGCAATCAAGTCTGTCTATCATCGGGAGCGTCGCGTTGTGTTCGAGTTTCTCGACATATGCACGTATGTAGCTTGTTCTGATGACAACCTCGTCAACTGACACGATCGCAGGCGTCTCATGCCACATGCGCAGAACAGCGCTAGCGCTCGCTCCTCCATTACTACTATCACTCGCGATGGACGGCTTTTCGATGTCCTATCGCGGGCGCTTTGCATCTTTGTCACAGACCCGCTTTTGATGGACGGCGCTGCACACGGCTCCAAAGGCTATCGTCAGTCTTCCAGACGTCTTGTGTGCCATGAACGCGCCTCTGACACATCCCAGATGTCTGCCAAGAGTACCTAACCGTGATGGGGGCATGCGCCTTGGCGCTCAATGCGAAGAGGACCAGGAACACGGCGAGACAGAGTATGCGGAAAGTACTGCGGAAAAGCTGGTACCCGACCCTTCAGCTTCTGCACGCCACTCGTGGCGAGTCTAGGAGCATGGGCGACCACGATAACCTCATTCAAGGTTGGTCGGCGTTAGGAGAGGCCTTGGCATTCAACAGGAATGAGTGCGAGGCGGATGAAGCCCATGAACGGCACAAGAATGAATACTTTTGTGCGTGGAAGGGATGCCGTTACCACTATGACCCATCCGATGAATGCCGCAAGACTTGTAAAGGCTGTGGGGAAGTCGTACGTTCTTTTGTGCTGTCACCATTCACTACAATCTGCTCATGACACATAGAGATACTGTGGTCGCCTCTGCCAACGCCTGGACTGGAGTAACGGGCATCGCCGGCGGTGCAAAAGGATTGGCTGGTCAGAGCAAAATGATATGTAGAAATGTTGATGATTTTGCAACCCACGTTGATCTCATGGAACGTGAATGCCATTACGTTACGGGTTGATGCGGCTCTCTTCAGTAAGGAAATACTGGAATGGCGATACTGGTGTGCGGCGGCACTGCACATGGTATGACTCGCTCGAGCTCTGTATAGCGATCAAGACGTACGACTGGCGCAAGCGCGTGTTACTTGGCTCGTGCAGCGCTTCCGGACTCACGACTCCTCGTGAGCTAGGAAGTACGGAATGCCACGTCGACAGGATGTCGATCGGACATCCTTGCTCATCCGTAAAGCCCACTCACTATCCAATCCCATGGTTGAACGCCATTACAGATGGGTGCAAGGGCACACCTCCGACGGCAAACACGGTTCAGGTGGTTCAGGCGGGCATAGCTGACTCGGGCCTCTGAGAAAGATAATCTCGATCGGGCAGGGAAGTGCATGCCGAACGCAGGAAGTCTCATAGAATTCTCATACAGGCATAATAATTGGTACGTGTTTCTGACCTCGACGTCGGGCTGGCGAGGATGGCAAGGAGACAGGTTCGGGAAAACGTATGGGCCCTACGGCACCGGAGCGACTCGCGGTACGGCTTTAGTCCTGGACAATGGTACCGACAACAGGAGTGTTGTTCCCTCGCTTACCGAAGCTGTGCTTACGCATCGACTGTCTCAGAAGCGCGAGCGGTGCTTATTCGAATCTTCATATCGGAATGATTGACGGGAGGCTACCCGGGATAGCCAGCGACTGGTCAACGAAGGAAAGTCCTCATTGTCGAGTTCCAATATATTGATCAAGTGACATGAAAGGGGGAATAAAGAGAGTGGGTAGAAAAAAGAGCAAGAATGGGGATAGACTTGGGCATGCTAGGGGAACGGCGGAATTGCGCAAAGATTCAACATCTGAGTGTAAGAAAGCAGAGCATGACCCCATCTCCAAGTCTCTGTGTACGAGACGAAGGGACCCTGTCAAACTGTACATATCGATGAGTAGAGGGAGAGAAACGTACTGTATCATCCGTTGATCGAGGCGGCCGAAGTAAGGAGCATTCGACTGGGACCCGGGATTCCGCCCATTAGCGGGTCCGGCGCCTTCCCTGCCTACAGTTTATGACGAAAGCATCTCTAGTTATGGTCAGAGATGTACGTCCCCAACCAGGCTGAAGGGTCCGAGTCCATCAATTGTACTGTAGGAATCGGTGAAGAAGCAGGTGATGACGGGAAGTGGTGATGGTTGCGGTCAAAGTGCCGTTGGCGGGCACCCGGGCATCTTGCCTCGAACATCCATGTGGCCCATTGACTTCTTGCTGTAGCGCTCAGGGCACCTTCGGTCGCATGAAGCACCGATACGATAGAGGGCCGCAGTCGCATCTGGCAGCTCGACCGATAAGGAAGGGCGCGCGGGCGACTCATGCCTGTCCTGCTGCACCCAGGAGACCTTTATCGATGATCGTCGAAGGCGCATACCTGACCCACTCTCCCTCGCCTTTCTCAGTCCTGAAACGAGGAGAGGGTGTAGATCGCAGAACAGTTTAGCAAAGTGCGCCATCCGGCCTGCACATGAGCGAATTGCACAGTCGGAAGCTCGCCATGACGCTCGACTAGGGATGTCAGCGTTTGGTTCATTGCCCAGAGACTTCAATGGCTGCTGCGTGAAGGACGCGATGTACCGAAATACATACTCCACTGTTGCCAGTGTCGGGCCAATACCAGAGTCCGGCACTCAACGTGCAGGATCGGAGCGTCAACTCAAGACGATACGAGCGTTCCTTGAGTGAAAATAGGCGGGCCAGTCGTCTGCGGAGAAGATACGGAAGACCTCTACTGAGCGATTCAAGTACCTCGCGTCAACAAAGCTACTGGCCGTTTACGTAGTACAACGACGTCGCCCAGCTCAGCAACGACGTTGACGACGTCTAGAGTCGGTATCAGCTGAACCTGGGGCTCTACGAGCGTCTGCTGCTGCAGGCAGCGTCCGCGCAGCAGTATAGCCAGTGGGCCTTCCACGTAGCCACACTTTGAAAGTCCATGTCAAGCCTATTGTATACAGTTGTGCACAGTGGCGCGCCCGGACGTCCGCGGCATAAACCAGCCGAGCTTCTACTTTACTACCAAGAACTGCTGGCCAGGTGTAACTTTCATGTGATCTCGCCTTTTGCCGAATGCTGGGGGAAAGCGCGACGCAATCGGCCCCATCTTCCTCTTTCCCTCCCGCGCTCACCCTGGGGCTTTCGTCCACCTTGCTCAGCGTCCCTACCCTTCGTGTCTCCCAATTACGCTGCACCGGAGATCCCAATAAGGCTGCGACGCCAGTATCCCCCCTCCAGTCTTGCCACCGCTCCGCTCCGCATCCAAGGACGGCGTCATCGTCTGTCCCCGAAGAAATGCGCCGCACCCTCTCCTCCAACGAGCTGCTCCATCGACACTCTGGTCGCGACTAGGACGCCAGCGAGTGCCAGAGAGCGAACGTCTAGGTGTTCAATCCGTCGTCGAGCGACGCGTCGCCCAAGCGCCGCTGACGGATGCGCCCTCGGCGTCGCCCGAGCGCCCGTTGATAGGCGCGCCCACGGCGTCGTCCGAGCGCCCGTTGATAGGCGCGCCTACGGCGTTGCCCGAGCGCCCGTCGCCACGCGCGCCCACGGCGTCGCCCGAGCGCCCTTCGACGGAGTCGCGTGACGCGTCCTCGGTTTAGAAGCGCCCCGCAACGTTGCCAACCGACGTCCATCGCCCCCACCACCATCGGCCATCCATTCACCATCGCGGCACCCAGAATCAACATGAACAACAACAACAACTTCGCCGCCGCCTCCTCGGTCAACGATACGGCCGATCAGCTCGCTCAGGCCGCGACGCACCTCGCTCAGGCCGACCCACAAGGCCTCCAGAACGCCGCGCAAGTGCCTCAAGATGCGGCTGTCGCCGCTGAGCAAGGCGGTCCGGCCCCGCCCGCGGCCGTGCTCGGCGTCACGGCGCTGGACGAGGCCATAGCCGCGTTCGTCGCCGAACAGCATGATCGAATCCTCGCTCAGGCGTACCAGACCGCACTCGTCCCCGTTGGTAGCGCCACTCGCTCTCTTCAAGTCGCCTATCGGCGTGCGCTCAATGCCGTCTTCTACGGGGCGTTTGACGCCCGCCAAATGACCGTGGAGCAAACCGTCTCCGCCATCAACGAGGCCGGCGATCAGGTCGACATCGAAATCGACAACGCCCACCTCGCGTTGGACGCTCTTCGCCAAGCGCTGCACGAGCAAGCGCCCACCTTCTTCTACATAGGCAACAACGGTACTTCCGCGTTCCCCGCGCACACCCCGGCTGAAGTCCGGCGCCGCCCCGTGGTCGTCAAACGCAACAAGGACAACCAAGGCCCTCAGGACGGGCGAGGAATTCAAGGTCGCCAGGAGCACGGAGGCAACGGAGAGGGAGGCGCAGGTATGGGCGGTGCGGCTGGTGTGGCGTAGGCCGGCAGGTGTGTGGCCCTTAGCGGTTCTTCGTTCGCGTACTGACTCGTACGCCCTTCAGCAGTTGCCAGGATTCTGTGGGATGGATACGGAAGACGTTTTGGGTCGATCTAAGGTAAGCGGTCATGGCGCATTGTCCCGCTTTGCTTCACACGCTGATTCCCTCGCAGTTTGTTAGGATCTATGTAAATACAGAATGCGCGATGACTCGGTTCTCTTGCCTGCAAATTGTATAGTACTCTGAAGAGCCCTGCCTCCATCAACAGCCCAATATGGGCCTTGAGTTTTGAAAGCCTCCCAATAGCCTCCTCCCTCATGACACATATATCCAGAACTTCATCCTGACACTGCACAAGCTCCTAGACTCACCCATGTTCACCCATACCCACCCACATCCTGCATTTATACCCATCGCCATCGCACACATTACTGTACCTCTAGTATACCCTCTTGCTCCCTACGATATACGTCTCTAAATACTCAGCATGTACGTACGCCACCATATAATAGCCAATATATGCATATTTTATGCTTTTGCTCCGTGTGGTTGCCTAAGGTGCTTTCTCTTTACACAGTGCCCTCGGCAATGCATCGTCGCATACCGTCTTGCCCCTATGACTTCAATCTGAGGGCGGCCGTCGCCTGAACCCTGTGGCGAAGCCTCCTACGGTGGTCTACTACTGCTATTGCTACTGCTACTGCTACTCCGCTTGCAGCGTGTGTTGGCGGACGAAGAATCATACGGGTGCGACCCCATGTTGCAAGCGAGGGTCGAGAAACCAGATCAATTAACATCAATTAAGGTCGGGAAAGTGGTTTAAATGACGTCGGTCGAACTCCGCCTGGGGCTAAATCCAATATTTATATTGGTTAAAGCATTTTTTCATGTTAATATAATAGTAGACCAGGGTATAGACCTGCAATAGGACAGCATCTCCGCCTGGAGAGTATACGAGAGCAGGCGGAGGCTCCGGACGCAATCTCCGCCAGCCTCCGCGAGGTGAGTTATCTCCGTCGATATTGCTCATCGTCTACGACAATGAGCAGGCCGCCTGCGATGGTCACCATGGAGCTCATCGTTTGATACGACGTCAACGGTGTGCTTGACCCTGTTGATAGTAGCATTCCCACGGTCACGTGATCTTGGGGCGGAGGTCCGCGTACACTCCGCTCGATGTCGAACAGAATGCTCGCAACAATGTGCGCAGGGTGGTGCTCGATGCCAACAGCAGCGATCAGATAGGCTCCAGGTCACCACCCACGATATGCCCGATCTCCGAGATACCCCGACGGACACGGGGCCCGCCGGAAGGTCCGAGTATGTCCGGTATCGCCCGCTGAGATGACTATGGAGAGAAGCAAGCTGTCAAAAATTACGGACCGTTAGCCCAGCTGGTTCAGCACCACTGTCTGGTCGTGGGTTCAAAACCCGCCCGTGTCACAAATTTTGCATTTAACTTATACTCAGATTTGGGCTTCCAAGACATGGGCTAATAACCATACTACATTCAATATCTCAGGTAGGATCAATATTTTGTGTTACATACAACTTACCTTGATCTCACACTCACTTCTCAGGTTTCTTTTTGTTAGGAAAAGCAATACATTATGCATACTAATCCAATACCAAGAAAGCATATATACAATGTCTATTTTAAAACACAGCAATCAAGAAGTATGGTGAGTAGATACATGGCATGAAAGAGCCTGTGATACAGTTAAGAAATAATTTAAAGACATGAAGAAGAAATGACTTACAACTGAACAAAACAAGCGAAGTCAACGCGGATCCCCCACGGAGCCTCCGCGGACCCCCGCCCGCCTATGGGCCGCCGGAAGGACCGGGGTTAGCCCAGGCGTTATTATACGCTGCGAACGCAGCGCGTTCGTAAGCCTGACGGGCCGATCGAATCGAAAGTTCCACATTCTGAACCCGCAGCGCCGTGCGGACGAATGGAGTGCAGAGCACGTTCTGCGTTAGGCTGCGAAGATGGGCGAAGCCTTGCGTCTGTTGTTGGGCGCGGGCAGTGAGCTGCGCGAGTTGAAGAAGATTGCTCGCATCGCGAGCTAGACGATCACGCTCCAGCCCAAGGTCTAGAGCAGCCGAAGGACTAAGATAGCCGTTGGCGGTCGGCACGTAAGGCGCCTGCTCGGCGCGCTGTGCCAAGCGTTCGAGCCAGTCGCGGTATGACTCGTGCGTCCTGTGCCAGTCGTCTGGCGCCAGCGGATCGACAGGAACCTGCCCGATGTGGCCGTACGCCAGAGGGTTGAACTCGAGCGGATCGTGTTTCGGCGCCTTTCCAGGATTCTTCGGCGGAGGGAACTTCGGCGGGGGGACGGCGGAGGCGGATGATGGCGGAGGAGCCGTGGACGATCCTTTGGCTTGCGTCTGCGGCGGGGCCCCGGCGGGGTATGCGCGTGCCTGAGGCTCCGGCGGGGGCGTAGGCGCTGGAGGGACGTTTGAGCCTGAAGCTTCAGGCTGAGGCGTACTTTCCTTCGCCTTGCCTTTGCCCTTGTCGCGCTGGCCATCTGGCTCTTGCGGGCGTGATGGAGGCGCATTTGCAGACGCGGAAGTTGATGGCTGATCCGGGCCAGCTCCCCTATTGCCTGGCGTCGATGCACGCGGCGGTTGAAAGGGCGAAGAGGGCGGAGAAGGAGTCTCCAAGATGGGAGGCGGAGAAGTGCTGGAAGCAGGTGTAGGCGGAGAGGACTTAGCGCGCTTGGCTTTGCGCTTGGGCTGGGGGCGGGGGATGGACGGAGGTGGTGCGGCTACAAGGTAAATTAGCGAGCGTATTTATTTAGCGTGACAGTTCTTACCCCTCCTTGGCAAAGACACGAAACATTGAAGTCTCGGTCCTAATGGGAGGGGTGGAATTTGAACTCCACTGAGTAATGAATGAAGTGAGTACACACCGGCTTTACCCTTGCCCTTCGTCATCTTCTTCTTCCTCTTCTCAAGCACATCCTCCAGCATTTCCTCCATCTCTGCCCTTTCCTGCATCTCTTCCATCTCCTCATCACTATCCTCCACCACGAATTCGCTTGCACTGTCGTCGGCGGGGGGACCAGTCTCTGCTCGGGCTTCAGCGCTCTCCGCCGCAGACGACGCGGATGGTGACGACGGAGACTCCGTGCGGATGACCTCACCGTCAGAGTCGAGTTCGACTTGAACGGCAGGTTTCGTGCGCGTACGTTTGGTGGGCGGGGCGGGCGG